ATGTCTTTTAGCAGCTTAATAAATTGAATGGGGGAAATTGTTACTCTGCAATCAGTTTGGTGCAAGTATGTATTGCAGGCCTAGAGGAAAGCAAGAGAGCCCTGGGAGGAGAGCTGGACCAGGTCGGGAGTGTTAGATGCCAATCCAAGCATCCAATGTGGTTTTTATTGTCTCCATGGGAATGCTAGGGATGAGGTTTGCTATTTCTTTCTTTTTTTTAAAGATGACCGGTAAGGGGATCTTAACCCTTTACTTGGTGTTGTCAGTACCATGCTCACCCAGTGAGCTAACCAGCCATCCCTATATAGGATCCAAACCCGTGGCCTTGGTGTTATCAGCACCACACTCTCCCGAGTGAGCCACAGGCCGGCCCGAGGTTTGCTATTTCTACTGCTGGGAAAAGAGCAGTGCTTCTGCTGCGGAGAGCATCTCATGTTCAAAGGAAGACAAGGTACTCGCCATGATGATCATGTTACCTGGACTTCCTGGACACTCCTGTTTTCAGCTGTTCTGTCCCTTCCCCCACAAACCATCTGGCATTGAATTCAACAGAATTTGAAATGTAAGCTTCCACATGCTCTCTCTGAGACTGCACCTTGTACTTTGTGACATTAAGGGTCCTGATGTTTAGTTTGGAAAATATGGAATATACTCACCATACCTCTGTTTGAAACTTCGGGTATTTGGCATAGTGGATTTAATGGTCTCTTCAAATACACAAAGGGTTAAAGTCAGGATGTTTCTTCCTTTCTCTCTCCCCTGCCCCGGGTGGCTGAGTCTGGCTTGGCACATCCCCGTTTTTCTCTATTAGCATCCTCAATCCACCGGGAACACGTTGCTAAGTGAGTGAGCAGACATTAGAACCTCTTTGGAAACCAGCCCCGAATAAGTCTAGAGTCAGGGATTATGGTTTGAAGACACAACGATATAGATATTATTCTTTTTTCTCTTTCCTTTCCCATTTTGGCAGAAACACACAAAAACATAGAATCCTAGAGCCAGAAAGGACCTTAGAAATTCTTGGGTTTATAACCCACATCCCATCATTATGCAAATAAAGATACCAGGCTCAGAGAGGCCAGGTGACTAACCAAGGTCACCCAGCTAGGGAGTGGCAAAGACAAGAGTCCAATTAGCTTTTCTGAATCCCAGGCTCATGCCCATTCTCCAGGGACACTGCCCCACATGGAGTGAAACCTGGAGGAGCAGAGGAGTTTCCAGCACCACCCCCAACCTGTCCCAGCGCTTTTCTCCCACCAGTAAGTATGTACTTTCTGTTAACCAAATCCCGGCTGCTCTTACCTGGCCTGAATCATCTTTTTAAGTCCCTTGGCAACAGAGTTGGAAAACACGTGTCCATCCCTTTCTGTGACTTTTTCCAGAATGTGCTTCCTGGAGCACTAATTCTACAAGATGCTCTGTAGAAAAACAGAACACAAAGAACTCTGGAAAATGTTGCATATTTGCTCCCTGTTTTGCACATTCACAATGCTTGTTAATAACACTCAGAGGTAGCATTTATTAAGTATCCATTATGTGCATGGGGGCCTGAGTATTTCACACATCTGTTTTCTCATTTAATCCTCTTGCCTTTGTGGTACATGCCATTATCGCTATTAATATTGTCATCTCGAGAAGTCTTGCAGTTA